GTTTTCGATATTGTAATTCCTGCATTAGTTGACCACTTAGTGATTCTATCTACCGATTCTTGCATAATACTTCCAGTAACCTTAAGATTTTTACCACTGCATATCAAGGTAATATCATCTTCAAAAATGGATATTTTCACTGGTTCTTCCATTGTACTGCTTGCGTCACTCATAACTAGAAGGAATATAGGACACTAAAGACAGATCCTTGTGGTAAACAATTCAACATCTCTGTAAGATGGAACGAACTGTCTAGAACTTTTACTCTGAGGTATCTGTTTTTAGGAAATTGATAGTGAATGCTAACATATTTCCTATTATATGTGATTTAGCAAGGGTGGATATGAGTCTATCTTCATAGACCATTTTATATTGATTCATAGATAGGGCATCATATTATTAGTATCGATATTTACTAGGAGGTCAATGTTGATCTAAAGGATCTGAAGGTACTTTGGTATGGTGAGATTAAGTTACGGTTTTCCAGTATCCATTTCATGCGGCGACAAACCATCTTCTCTAATATCTTGCAGATGTTATTTGTTAGGGAGATTGGGCGGTCATTCGTGGGTAGAGTCTGATCTTTATTAGGTTTAGGTATGGGGATAACATTAGCTTCTCTCCATTGGTCTGGAAAGTGTTGTTCACTCCAAATTATAAACGCAAAGTAAGTACTTAGGTCCAACTTCAGGAAGGTTCTTCAAAAAACTGTTTGGGACCTTATCCGGCCCAGGTGCAGAACTTTTGCTTTGATCTAATACATAAAGAAGTTCTTCCATAAGGAAAGGTTTGTTGTAGTTATCGTTATTGTCCCTAGTTAGTAGCAAAATGTTATTTTGACTTAAGTTTCTGCTTGAGGGATCTGTAAATAAAAAGCTTGGGTCAAAATTATTGCTATCTGAATTTTGAGCAAACATGTTTGCTAAAAGGCTACATACGGCTTGAGTTCTAATATGTTTTAAGCCAGTACTATCAATAAGATAGTTAGGAATACTGGGAGTACTTCTTTCACTAATGGCTTTTATTTTATGCCATATCTCTGATATAGGAGATTGGTGTGTGATGGAAGAGGTGAACTTATGCCATGAATTGATCATTGCGGATTTGAGAGTAAGTCTAGCAAAGGCTCTTGCTTTCCTGAAAGCAATACCATTTACCATGGTTTTGTTTTTCTTAAATTTTCTATATGCTCTTTTTTATTTTTAATTGCTGTAGTACTTTGTTCGTTTCACCATGTACCTTGGCGTTTTTTAATTATTCCCGTGGTAAGGGGAATCGACGTTCTTGCTGCTACTAGAATTAGTGAAATAAAGTCATGAGCTAAACTGTTTAACTCTTCAGAATGGACTTGATAAACTGTTGGAATTGTTCCCATTTAGCTTGTTCTGGGATCCATTTAGGCTCACATCTCAGATTAGAGAATATATCTAAGTCTGGAAGTGTCATGTTAATGGGATAGTGGTCACTATCATATAGACCATGTAATTCTAGCTGCAATGTCATTTGAGGCAAAACTAAGATCAATGTTGCTTTCATTTTCATTTCTACAGTTAAAGTGGGTAGCCAGAACTGTATTTAATATGGTAAGATCATTATGGTTATCTAACCATCCTTCAATGATTTTACCTCTTGTCTGTAATAGATCCCCATAATTTATTGTGACTATTGAAATCTCCTAGAATTATAAAGGGTTTGGGTAAGCTGTAGGAAAATCTTGACAGTTGGATGAATATCAACTTCACTCATATTAGGGGATATACCCATATACAAGCATGATATGGGAATTTATTTTTAACCTTTAACACCATACGGCTTCAAAGAGAAGTTTTGGAGCGGAACTATGCAGCACATAAATATACATTTTAACAAGGATAGTACCCACATGATAGCAATTTCCATTACAAAAGCGATTTAGTGGTAGTTTACTAGAATGATTTGTCTTTAAGTTTCTGTTTTTCCTTGTAAACATCAGTCATTGTAGAGAAGAATATTTTAATTCTAATAGTTTCAGGGATGAGTAAGGGGACGGGCATAGGATCCATTTAGTTAATTCCAATTGTAAGTACTATTCATTTCTATGTATGTTATATCAGTGTTATCTGCGATTCCGAATCATCCATATTGTTTCTTGTGCACTCTTCAACTTTGTTGAAATACTTGTAAATTTATGTTTTTATTGAACTTTCCTGTAAGTATCTTGAGGTATGAGTCTAGGTACATTATTTTGGATATATTCCAGATGGAATATGTCAGAGTAAATAGTCACTTGACTATATATTGTTGTTGGCTTTGGTGTCTCTGAAGCTTTGGTCAATGAAATTTGATTATTGGTTTAGTCTGTGAGGGGGTAATAAATCGGAGTTAGTTTGCATACTTTGCTTTAATTGGATTAAGGAAAGTTCATCTACGTGACTTTGGGGGTGTTCTAACATGAGTACTAATATGATTTTGATTCTGACCATTTTCTTTTTCTTTTAGTTTGCTTACTACTAATCCAATTGGTCTTATACTATCTTATTACTTTCAGACCGATTGGGATGGAAGATTTCTGATGAGAGGGTTCTCTGTGAAAGGGAATAGAGGGGAAATTACTCTATTTGTGCTTTGTAGTTCAGTAACATCAATGGAATTATTAGTAATTCATTTTGAATTTCATTTTGCTAAGTCATATTCATGTTGCAGAACTGTGATAGATTTGTCTATATAACACGGTTTGCTAGATGACCAGACTGTTTACATAAGAAGGATGTTCAAGTCTATCTGTTTGAAAAGAAAATTCCCTATATTGGGTACATATACAATAATAGTGTTGATTCTGGAGATTGCTTTTAACACTTCAGGTTTATAAACCTGTCGTCCTGAAATCATAAATGATGTTGTATATCCTGGTTCAGGAATACAGCTCTAATTAAAGAGATGTTGGACTTTTATGGATATTATGTTTGAAAATTCTTGTTGATAATAACAATCATGTGGTAATCACAGGGCAACATGAAATTATTACCCCTCTTAAGCTTATTAATGTAAAGGTCTGACATTCCGTTTATGATCCTTGATGGTTAACACAGGTAGTTGCTTAAAAAGTCGGTTAGCTCTGCTGTTTTCTTTAGTGTTTAGAAATACACAATATGTTATTAGATATGCGCGACACGAATCTAATGTCATTGGGGTTCATTATTGTAGCGAGTTTAGTAATGTATTCTTTTATTGAAATACCTTCGTGGGCTTCTATTATAACTCCTTGATCTTTGGTAGGAAATACATCACTCAGTAGCGTTGGCGTAAGTCTTCTTTGCTTGATTTTCAGCAGCTGGGTCCATCGGAAGTTTGGTTAAGTTGTTGTTTACATTGGAGAACATTCTGATTGTCAGCCGCGTTATGCTGACTTTAAATAGATGTTAGATTAGATTAGTATTGATTTCTATTTGGTGTGACAGAAACACTAATACACAACTGATAACACTGCAGTCATGAACACGACAAGAGGAGGCACAAACGCAGGTGTTCCCTCTACGGTGTCTGGGAGCGAACTGCGCCTTATCTTTGATTTCTAATATGTTTTTAGTATTCAGTATGTTCTAACGCTTATTAAAATGAAACTGTGGAGCAATGTCCTGGGTATAGTTCAGTTCCTTGTATTACAATTCTGGCATTACAATTACAAGCATGGTCATTATGGCATTTTGAAGGAAAAAGGGCACCAATCAGGTCGAACAATAAGTGATAATTTGAATAGATAAATATTAATTGTTCTCAGTATCAAGTTGCTTTTAAACAGTATGTTTCAGAGACAAAATATTTGTTGATAATGACGTCAAATATAAGGCTTATTTATTACTAGTTTGTAACATTTAACTTCAGTTGATATCGCTGCATTAACCGCAGGCCCCAACCTTCAAACCTTCCGTACCTCCAACCTTCGTTCTCACACTACGGAGAGGTCTTTAGTCAGCGCCAGATCTAGCCATCCAGAGAAACAGGCTCCCCTACCGTAACATAACATGCACAATACTTACGGAACAAACAGCAACAAATTTGACGCGTCCGGAAACATCTTAAGAGCGTGATCGCTCATTTTCTAGGACAAATTTCCCTGATTGCACCTGGTTTTCCAGTGGATTTCTTAAACCTTTTCCCAGTAAGATGTATTTATTTCGCAGTATATCAATAAATATTAAAGTCAATCTAATGCTAATTCGTCAGCTCTCTGATTTCGCCATGAGAAAGTACAAACTAACAATATTTTCTCAACAATTAAAAAAATGGCCAAAACATTATGGTGTACTAATTATTAAGTTGTAGTAAGAAATATGTAATTAACTTCTAACGATTCTACTACAAATTCCCTGATTTTCCTCTATCATTTTACCAAAGCGAAGAAATTCTCGCATTATTCCCAGTTTTCCAGACAGCGTCCACTCCGTTAGAACGGCGCTCTCTCGCGGCGATTTGTGGCCGCGCAGACCCGCCCGCGCCCCCGCTGCACGTGGCGCAACTCGTCGAGGGCCCATTACGCCCCATAAAGGCGTCCGCGCCGCGCCACTCGGGGTCGTTGGGCGGACGGTGCGTCATCGCGCCTCGAGAGGAATCAATCACGGGCGGACGAGCGCGAAATTGGCCGCCGCGAGGGCAGCCCGCGCGACGCGCGCCCCAACGGCCACTGCCAGATACTCGTAACGCACCCGCCAACGTGTCCGCGAATATCAATGACAGAGAGCTAACGGCCTTCTCTTCCAATGTGGTACGTGTTTTGCGGTTGTCGTGAGAGGTGGTCAATGCGAGGAATACAACTGTTCTTGCTGGCTTGTATGGGTTATTTATGAGACAAATATTCACATCTATATGAGACAACAGACAGTGGCTAAAGATGATGCAGAAATTTAATTCACAACGTCACACCATGTGGCAAAGTCGTTCATTTCCTTTCACTATTGCATAATTAAAGCGTGATCTTTCCAAAGGGATCCAAAGTAGGTTGAATAATAAAAAATGAAATAAAATCATATGGTAACTTCATACATAAGCAATGTGTAACGCAGATTATCAACTTCAAAATATAACACATTTCATTTTCAATAAGTTTGTGAATTCCCTTTTGTTTTTGTTTTTTTGTTGTTGTTTTTTTGTTTCTAAATTGTAGCAAACAAATTCACTACACTGATATACCCGGCACAAAATACAATTTTCTTATGCAAGAAATTATTATTTCCTGCAATATTTCATTGATTTCGAAAAGACGAGGTAATATAATGCGACGTGAGTATTGTTTTGTTACAATTTGTTCAACCATAACTATTGTGTTTCCCCGTTTAAATATTATTTCTTTTTTACCTTACAGAATATAATTTCCTGGTAATGCCTGGTTAATGCAATGGATATTTGGATAATAGGATCAAAATATATCAAAATATTGAACGAAATGCTTCGAACACATAGCAACCTTTCATTCTCAGGGAATTTTCGACTGTTCCAAATTATTTTTTCCTTTTAGATCTTTTTTGTATTTAGAAATCGGCGTCGTTTTCACTTTTAGTTAATTCAATTATTTCATGTAGGGCAGTGAGAGGGAATATAAAATATCTATTTCATAACGTAGTAAAGTAAGATATAAGCTCTTGTTAGAACGTTCAACCACAGTAATCTGTAATCCGAATTTCACAGCACTCAAATCCAATGGCTTTTGTATCAGTTTTCACCAATAACAGATAAAAACAAGTGGAAATAAACTTCCTCAAATTTCATCACAATTCAAAATCCAATTTCCAAACAATTCAGGGATTAATGTCAACTAGTAGATTAATTCTTATCTTTCAACCGATTTGAGAAAAACATATTTATTTTCATTTTGAAATAGTATTGCGAAAGCCCGTGTCATAAAAGAAATGTATCGTTATCTTCACGAGCCACACGTTTGTGAAAAATACACATTATTGCCAGCATCAAAACTCTCTTTCAGAAGTGACAAATTAAATGTTTTCAGAAATGATGAAAATTCTGGTTGATTTTATATTTATGTTCACCTATGGAAAATGAATGAACATAATTATATTTAACATACCGTAAGCAGTATTGCTTATTAATAATTTCGACAAACATTACAATATTATATGTGACTATTTTTTTTAAGGAAAACCGTTCAAAGTAACCTCTGCGAAAACGTGGCAATGATCACAATCAATCAGCAAAGACATCACATCAAGAGATTTGCAACCGAATGAGCAGGGTTGCTAAGCGTCTCGGATTTTAAGGGACTGTCCCTTATTTGAGAGAAATGCCCCGTGTCCTACGGCATTCTTTGCCGCGAAGTTAAATTTCCCGTATTTCAAAACTACATCCTGTCTTCGGCGATATCCATGTTTCAAAATAGCCGCTATACTGCGTAGGCGGAAATGAATAGTCATCTGTGCAAGACAGCTCCGGTTCCTTAACTTTTAGAAGTTCCTTTCGTGGCTTTGCGTTCTTTCTTCGTTAACAAATGAGCGAGTGTGTTGGGTGGCCATTTGTGTAGGATAATTGATACAAGATGAGAGTTAAACGCAAACTAGAAGATAGGAAGAATGTACGTATTTGGCTAGTCATAGCTGGAACAATATTTTCGCCGGTGGCTTAAGACATGTATATCAAAATACAAAGCATTTTGGCAATATTGTAGCTAATCAGTTTTGAGATTTCTTTTTATAATAAAATTATAAAATTAGTAGAACTTGGTCTAGTATTTCATTGTTATCACATACGTACGTGACTAAATAATACGATCAATTCTTTTCTTCCATCTTACAATTATCAGTTTCTGAAGTTTGTGCCGTATTTTAACTTTGAATACCTGGCAATCCTTCAAATGACATTTATAATGCTCATACCAAAAACAATTTTATCTACAATATTCACAATTAAAAACAAAGTACTTTTAAATTGAAAAATGTTATCGATTATGTGCTAAAGATACGTGTATTATCCGTACACCTTTGCTTGAGCCCTCACATCGCTAGATTCGAGAGGAGTGGGAAGTTTGGTTATTTTGATGAAAGAAATTGTACGTCGAATTTGTAGTTCCATCCAAAATTGTTTCTTATACACGGGAGCGAACATTCCTCGTCACTAGATTTTGTCTACATCTCTCATTACTATCATTTATTTTTAATGCAACTAATGTCAAGAAAGGAGTGGGGGTAGATATTCCGGGACTAAACACTACGTAGAACAAAATTTTGAGTCGAACTCGAGCGCAATGACGACGCAAAACGAGTGAATCAGAGCATAGAAAACATCAGGCGAGGTTGGCGACACTGAAAGGTGGAGTAATCTTGATGGTTCCTTGCTCCCGTTTTCGTGCCGCTCTAGAGCTCGCACGCGTTCGTAACAGACAGCGTAATATTTCCTCACGGGCTGTAGACACCGCCGCAGTAGGCACGAAGAGAGCCGACTAATCACCATTTGCTGTTGGATACTACTATGTTACTCGTATTCTAAAGCGTTTGTAAGTTTGAAAGATCCCTTTAGGCATATGTTCATAAGTTAATAAATGAATTCGTGGGTGACAACTAATATGCAGTTAAACGCGTTATTATGATGTTGAATATTATGTACGATTCTTCGTCAGATGTACATTTTGGAAATTTAAAGAGCTCACTTCTCAAGTACTTGCTCTTACTCAAGTACTTGCTTTATGAACACAATCTAAGAACAGGAAAGAACGGTGGGAAAAGCAGATCCTCCTTTAACGTAGAAAGTTACCAAACCACTATACGCCTGTCTATAGAAAGACGGTCCAAGTGAAATCTCGAGTACATCTGCTCGACACGGAGATCGAACGTAAGGTTCCCACATTCCAACAACACGCCCAACTGGTTGGTTGCTCTTTGAATAATGTTCTGCTGCGAGATTACAACTTGTTTCTACAAGCAAAACGGGCAGCTGAATGTAACGAAAACTTAGGTGTTAAAACCGGTAGCGATTGATTCCAATAAAAATGAATCCAATACGTGTGATAGACCGTAATTCTCCATGTAAAATAGAATTTGGCAATGATGAGTAAGAAATATAGTACAACAGCAAGGGTGTTATCTTCTACCTTCGGAGGAAGTAAAGCCGACTATCCCATGTTAGTAATTTTACTGCATGTAAAATATCCTCAAGCCTAAATGAAGCCTTTAAACTAAATTCAAAAATCGCTTGTTTCGTCGCCCAAGTGATACCTCCTTTCTCCACTAGTGGGTGACAGAAGCGTAGGGAAATTTGCATGGTCAGACGGAAGAGCGGGCCTCATGACCTGAGTCTCGCCACGTAAAATAAGGCATCAATTCAATTGAATTCTTCCATTAATTTGTATACAATGGAAGACAATTATTTTAATGAATCATAACAGTAGTTAACGAAAAAATAATAATAAAGTTTTCTTCTGATGCAACTTATTTAAAACATTTGTAAACTTTAGAAAACATTTGAATTTTTATATTACTTTACACGGGACAAAGTAAATTCTTTTATAATTTGTCGTAGGAATTACAACAGACTATATTTCATCTTATTAGCGAAGTGTAATCTAAACGATAACCTCTCTATCATATGACCCGAGAAACAACAAATACGCGCGCTTTTTCCATTTCGCGACAGATTAAGGATTCGTGTGTTTGAACAATCCAAATACTGCTCTACTTAACACCACCGTATCCACTGGGCAGCGCTGCTTCCGAGCCGCGTCCGCGAAGGCTGTGGCCGCGACGACGCGCGTCCCCTCTCCTCGCGGCCTCCATTACTCACCGGCTGAATTATTAACGCAGCGCGGCGCGGCTGGGCCTGGAGCAGGGGCTGGGGCTGGGCTAAGCGGGCGGAGTGCGCCGGGATTTATTCTTCGCTCCCGCCGCACAAAGGCCTCGTCCCTAATGAAAGAAGCCGATGCGTCCTCGGCTCGGGTTGCGCGCCGCCCCCGCCGCGCCGCACGGCGCCAACGGACGCGCTGCTCGTGCGACGATTCCCACGATTTTCGAGTTTTCAATCTTTTATTATTTCGTGGTACCGAGGCGGTTCGCTCCCTAGATCATTAATTCCGTAATTGCAGTGCATGTTATATTCCAGTCTATCGGTGTTCCTCCCCCACTTGCTAATGCGGACCAGCGAGTAGCTACACGTCGACTTGGATGTTTTTCCAGCCAGATACAGTCTGATTTGTGCGATAGATTAGTTCGTAGAACTGCGCACGTAAGGGGAAAGGATGGGGCAAGGGAGCAGGGATGAGGAAAGGGATATCGAGCTTGCCCCTTGGCCCGTTTGCGAGGGAACTGCTCCAGCGTTCGTCAGTTATTGAGTAGGAACGACGGAAAAAATGATGTCAGCCGCTAGAAGCCCTGGACAGCGGCTGAATTATACCCAGCTACCTTTCATGCGGCGAAAATCTCGTACCCTCGGGACACGAACCCAAGGACTCCTCTGTCAGATATAATGCGGTTGAGATGAGCGGCCTAAGTCGGTCTCAACCTTCAAAACAGCAGCTTACAACTAAAATTTTTAACATTTTAGCGCCTCCATGGCTGCGTATTTTGTGACACTGAAATTCGTCTCCAATCGCAGTTCTGCCTACATTTGAAACTTGACTCGTTAAAAAAAAAACAAGAGCTCACTACAATTACCAAGGTTCGGAAGGTATCATTGCATTATAAAAATAAATTCGAGCGATCAGGCTAATTGGTCGAATTTAATTTCTTCTAAAATACCAGAATCAATCGCGTCCATGAATGTTTTTTATTGCCAATGGAAATCACTTTCTGACATTTTACTTCAGGGTGGGAGATATGCCAATTAACTCTCTTCGCAGTTTAATTAGCGTACATAGTTTCCACCGCGACATTTATTTAACATCCAATTAATTATGCAGCTGGGTACTTCTATGAAAACAAAAATACACGACGTACATGGGAGCAGCAGCAGCAGCAGCAGCGCGCTGAGCGGCCGAGTGGTCACGTGCGGGAGGATCTGGCAGAGGCGCCCGTGCCCCGCGGCCCGCTCATTACGTATGCCGCAACCAGTCACGCGGAGTGGCGCGGCGCGGCGGGGCGGGGCGGCGAAACGTACGGGGCCCGTCGGCGGGAGCCACGCTGCGCTGCCCAGGCATGTCACCGGCGACGAGTGCTCCTTATACGGCTCAACGGGGCTCGCAAGTCGCCGCCACGCCACGCCACGCCGCGCCGCGCCACGCAACCGCTACCTCCGCGATTCCGCAGCTTCCACGAGGCGAATGTGTACTATACGAGTCCTTCTGGAAAACCAATACTGCAGGTCTGCCACGGCAGATGCTAATCGAAGTGGGTTCGCAGGGTATGCTCGCCCACCTACACATAGAACATGGAAGAACAGCTAACCGAAGATTTTCGTTCTACGAAAGAGCGCTTTTGTGTTCAACGGCAAAACTTTATTTGGAATACAGGGCAACATCATTACTACTGGAGAATCACGTGTATGACATACGAAATAAAGACGTGCACAATAAATTCTGACGAACGAAATAACAACTTTCCCTAATAGGATAGAAGTTCTTCTAAAGAAAAATACAATTTGACGAGTAGCGAACTGCTTTCTCATCATTTAGAGAAAACGAAGGAAACGAGTTCGTATTTGTTAAAAGAGAACGTGAGAAGGGAAGTGGGAGATTCAGAAGTTCCTAGAGAAGATGAATAATTTTTGCGCTTGGATCATTGAGGAACGAAAATTTATAGTTTCTCCCATGTATCTATGAACAAAAAAAGAGAAAAGTCACTTGCATCAGTATGGTTCTACTGTCCCCATTTGCCAAAACGTCGAAAATATATTCACAGATTCCTCATTGTTCGTAACTTATGTCTAATAATACAGTAAAATTAAAACCAGATAGTTTAGCAAGACTAAAAATGATAGTCTGGTATCACAAATGTTGTGAGTTTCTGTACTTGTCTTCCAGTCCTCAAACAGTAACCACCATGTACACTTTCTTCACCTGCCGCCTATTAAGTATGTTTTGTACTAATTACCGTGCAAAGGTAAGGCCACGATCTAGAATGTACTCAGGCTGCGCGGACAGCTTTTAATGTTTGACGTCTATCACCATCAGTTGCTGCAGGGCCCGTGAGATTATTCGTAACTTATACGTCCCTTTTTTTTAAAAAAATATTCAAATAATTGTGAATAATTATAATTAAACACAATTGTGAATAATTATAATTATGCACAACTAATCTCGGTGCTAATCTTTATTCTAAACAGCTCAATGACTTCAATATTCACTTTTCAAATCCCTCTTCTTTCAGAAGGGCAAAAAAGAAGAAGAAATTCCAAAAAAGTCGCATCAAACAATAATGTGTCCCAAAAATATCGATGGTAATCGTGTAAGAGGCAGAAATTATACGAAATGAATCTTCAGTTAGGCATTTAAGTCCCAATACAACGCATAGATGCTCTTCTCGTCAAATGCATCGCTAAAGATCATTATTCATAAAAAATAGCATACATAGACATAGACAATGCACACTCACAAGTAATTTATAAAGTAACCTTGACCCTGGGGAAGAAGACCAAAACTTTATGAGAACAAATAAGATCTACCTTCATTTATTTAGAATGTTCCACATTAGTTGTTTTTTTGTATTTTATTGTTAAATCGCAAATAACAATTTCATTGTTTTAGTGTTATAATTTAAAAAATATTACCTATGGAAAAATGCTAAAAAGGAAGGAACAAATCTGAATAAGACATAATTCGAAACTGACGCTTACGTTAGCGGCGTCGAAATGATGCAACTGCTCACGCGTGAGAAAATATCTACGCCATGACGAACCGTTCTGATCAACACTTAGTCGGACTGTTTCCTTTGCAAGAACTGATAAAGAGGAACGAAGGGAGGCCCAACTGAACGAGCATTGCCAAAGCGTTATCTTCAAGTGAAATGCTACAGAAATAAATACAGAATTGTTAGATTCTTTCTAACAGCAAGAGAAACAGGGATGTTTTATCCGATGTTCACGTATTTTGATTGTTCCACGTTAGCTTGAATACTTTTATCTGTTAGGTTTTTAAATAAAGTTATAGATTGTTTTGAACTTTTCTATCCTATGCCGGGTGAAACCCTTCTGAAACCTTCAAAACACGATGGGAGGTCTAAGCACCGCCGCTCGCGCAGAATCGTTTTGAGTATGACAAACGGCGCATGCGGCCCAGTGAGAAACACGGTTACCACCATATCAATCCCGTAAAAGGATTCCAACTCATCTCTCCATTCGTGGAGATCCTCTAAAATTAATAGACGCCGCTTCCGCCAGGTGCTCCAGGCGCGGTGTTCCCCAACGTCCCCCACCCCCACCGGCCTGCTGCTCGCCGACGCCGCGCAGTAATCGCGGCGGAACCCAAGCGCACGTCGACGCCCCGGCGCGGCTACGTGCGGCCTCGAGCGCAGCTTTTCAGCGCCAAGCCACGGCGGGTCGCGACCCGCAACTGGGTCACCGCATTGTTCCAGGGCCGGCGCGCCGCGATGCCCCGAGCGCCACGAGCGGACGGCACGAAATCGCTGCGGATGCGCCTGCCGAGGCGACGGAGGAGGAATGAGAGGGAGGGCAGGAAAGGCGCAAAAGAGGGAAAGGGGAGCGTGAGAACGGTTGGAGAGAGAGAGAGTGAGAGAGGGGGGAGGGACGGAAGAGGAATGAAGGATGAAGGGGAGGGGAGGGTGGTGAGAGGAAGACAAGAGTGGGTGAGGGGAGCATGGGAAAGAGGATGGAGAGAGGATGTAGAGAAAAAAGAAGAGGCAGGGAATATGTAAAAGGGGCGAGAGGGACGGACGAAGGGAGCAACGCTGAGGGGACAGAGCGCAAGGGGCCTAATTCGCCATTAAATTGGTACTTCTGTGCGACTCGCGATGTCTTTGTGCTCTCTTTTCTTTTCGGGCGAAAACTATTGTCTTCGCCCAACAATGCTTGGCACTATGCTCTAATTGCGCGATAAATTAGCCTGTTCGCCTCCCGCCGCGAAGAAGCGAACTCGCCCCCGCCCCCGCGGCCCATCAACAGGCGGGCCACCCGCCGAAAAGTGCTCGTTACGGCGCGGATCGGCCTTTTTTCTTCTCCAACCGCCGGTACCAGATGCGCAGCACGCCGGGGAAAATTCTCAGGGCGTTGCAATCCACGTGGTCCAAGCGACAGAGGTGGTGGTTGAGGCTTCGGGAGTACGAACGTGAGAAAATGCGAGGACCTCCAGTCCCTCATATTTATTAGCAGTTCAAGTAACGACAAGAAAATATAACAATGACGAAATAATTGAAGATTTCGGATATATTAGTTCCGAAGAGAGATGCATTTATGAGATGATTTATGAGATATCATCGTATGTGTTTTGACACATGTAACATGATCAGGAAAGAAATTAAAAAAAATTAATTAAATTAATTATTTTTTTAAATGAATATTTTGCACGGGATATTACACTATGAAGGACACATCCAGATGATTCGTTTTCCTGACAGCTGAATGCTCTCAAAGGCACTGTACAAGAGACTGCACTACATGACTATCCTTACAGGGACACCCAGCAGGGAAGAAACGATGAAGTAGAATCACGCAAGATACTTGAAAAAGATTGACAGACGTTTAATGATATGCCATCTTTTTTATGGGTCGCGTGACAACTGAGCATCGCTCGGTCGCCTCTCAAGCTGCATACATTCCTGAAATATTCTTGAGCCACGAACCCAAACTGTGAGCGCCGAGCCGGTTCGTCGCCGTGCGACATATCAATTTATGAGCAAAGTAAGGTTGCAACTTTTGAAATCGAGAATTTTACAGAAAATTCTCCAAGAATAGACACGTTTTAACACTTTTTAAAGATGTTCATGTAAAAGTAGAAAAATAGTCACAAAACTTTGTAAATGAAGCCAACCTTTCAACTAAATCTAACACGGCAATTCCACATTACGGGTAAACGAGTTGCAGCTTAACGTCTGAGAGGTGAGGAAGAAGCATTGTTGTTGGACATTAACGTAACTTGATGTCAAATATAGTGCATGTGCGAGCAGAAAGGAAAATTAATTCAATCCAATAAACGTGAAAGAATTATGTTAATGATATAATGACATTATTATTATTATTATTATTATATTATTATCATTATATTACTGAATATTCTGAAGAAACAAAAATGCGACAAATGTGACCACACAAAAGAACATTCCTAGGTAGATAAATAAAAGTAACTCATCCCAAGAATTACAACACCTCCACGTCACGTCAAAAAGACGTTATCTCCTCGAGACGTGACGAGCGCTTTATCCCTCAGCGAGAACAATCGCTAGAGCCGAAATGTCGACGCCCACGGGACGAAACGCTGACCCAAAGAAGCCGCCTTTGCATCAGCGCTGCCCTGGCTGCCACAACACGGCGTCTGATGAGGAGCTCTCAAATACTGTTGAAAGATAATTTCTTGGATCGGAATGGGGACCTCTTTCCTATTATTATTCTTTAAAAAATTAAGCTCTCAACACAATTCCACTGTTTGCAAATGTTCGAGAGTAAAACAAATGTTTTTAATATTCCAGTGATACATGATAACGAAAATTCAATGAAGCCACAAGTATGGGTGAGTGCAATGTCCCCCTTCTAAGCTACGCCTACGGTTGCTGGGCCTCTGCTCACTCCGCTGCCCGCGGGAGAGGAGGACGCCCCGAGCACGAAGTCCTGGCGCCGGCCCAGCGGCGCGCGGTCGATGAGTCGCTCTTCCGATTGGCGCCACCGACAAGCGCGCGCCCAGTGGACCATCGGCTGCCATCGCAAGAGCAATAAAACAGCACGGCTCGCTGCCCGGACAGCGAAGGTTATGAGAAAATTCGTACACGCTTTATAAAACGCTTCCGGCCAGCACGGCGAGCGGGTTGGCTGGCTAGTGGCCGGACGGGAAAAGGACCATAGCGCAGCGACGGCGATGGAGGAAGTCAGCGTGGCGGGAGAGGGGAGGGGGGCGAGACGGCGGCGGCGCGGTCGAAGACCTCCGCGCACGCGACCGTGCGCTGCCGGGCACGCGCTCGCACGCACGCACGCGCTCGCTGCACCGCGCCAAAAAAACGCGCGAATTCCAGGGCGTCTTCGTACCTTGGACGCAATTTACCGTTTACCTTTAGACGAATGATTTCGGCAGTTTTAGCGAACGCGCGCAAGCGCTGAGCGGCTCTGTTGGCTCGGAAGACGCATTGCGCATGAGTACGTTCGCTAAAACTGCCGAAATCATTCGTCTAAAGGTAAACGGTAAATCGGCAGACTCCGGTCTTTCCCATGCAATTTTATTCTGCCTCTCTTGCAAACTTTTTTTTTCTTCTCTGTCGTTCTGCTTTCTGCTACAGATTCTCGTCGCCTTTCATTTTTATCTCCAAATTTAAAGGTAGACACTTCGTTGGTGAAGGTGTCCCTATCATCTGCAATGTGACAGAATTCTTTGGAAAAATTGCGGCCACTTGTTAATAGGTATTAGTTAATCAGTTCTGAGTTCAACGCTTTCCTTGCCCGTATATTTTCTCTTTCCCTTTCACTTTGCAAACAATTCCTTTTTCACTTTACACAATTTCTTGATGTATAAAGTATACATCCAGTTCAGCATCCATACTAGGCTTTGTAAACATGAGTTCTCTTTACAATTTTACCTAATCCTCCCAATTCTAAAACCTGCACAGAAGAGTTTCTTGCAAAAGATAGATGATTCGTCTGAATGACTACCAACTCTCTCTGGAAGAAGTATGCACATGAAGTAGCATGGTAATAAATATTCAAAGCAATGAAGACGTTGCGGTGCGAAAGACGTAAGTGCCTTGTCAACGCGTTCATCATCACAGTCTTTACGACTTCGATAAGAAATAACACACCTGGTGTACAGCACATGCAGTATATCACAAAAAGTTGCCATTGATTCAACGTCGACAGTGTATGCCTTAAAATACGTTTCAATTATATTAACGTGGAAAACATCTCTGTTGATTATGTTAAAATTACGATTCGACAATGGTTTTTATGAACACGGAAACCTCTAACATTCAAAACAGCACAAATACGAATAAGATATTGGTGTATAATATTTTCCCATAATAGAGTACGAATTTCCATAAGAAACTCCCCGCATTAACCATTAAGATTTCAAACTTTAAAAAAAATATATACTGCTTCTCATCCATTTACTTGAAATTGTTGGAACTGCAATAATATAGAGTACTCTTACCGAAAGATGGCCCTATGCAACAACAATGTGTATCAAAATTAAACGCATTCCCCCGCTTCAAATCAACACGTGAATTACGAACTACAAATTCCAATAACGTTGCCCTCGCCAGCAACTTGATCGACGATCCAGCTGCAACCGAGAGCACAGCCTCCGCTTTCCGCGCGAACCGCTGGCCGCGCGTTTTACTCTCGCCCGCCCCCGCCCCCGTCACAGTTCCCTCCTCTCGCGACGCCACTCACTCTCGTCGGGACGCGACGCCACAAGACAGGGCACGGCGCGGGGGAAAACGCAATCTCGCGAGAGAGGGCAAACAAATGGGCGTGATTCAGCGCCGCGGAGCGTCGATCTCAGCGCGGCGCGAGGCACGGTGAGGCAAGGCGAGGCGAGGCGAAGCGACGGGGCCACGGCGACATTTCACACGCTTCGACAGCGCTGTCGGCTGGGGTACGAAGAAAGAAAGAAGAAGATACAAGCAGTGTCGGAGACGCGCGGTGAGCGCCGCGTCGGAGCCCCCGCATAAAAGACGCTTAATGGCTACAACACGGCGCGCTTTACCAACGGATTTAAGGCGGTGACGCCCGCGCAGCTGAGTCGGTCGCGCGCACTGGCGCCGAAGTGGGGGACTCTCGAGAAACACGAGTTCCTTACACACACGCACACACCGTCTAATCTATAAATCTTGGCATACCGAAAGAAACGTCCATAAGTGCTGTTCCAACCGTTCAATAAGGTCACCATACTAACGTTATTTAAATTCATGATAATAAATTAATGAACGTCATGTTACTTCAGTTTGAAACAATAAGAATAAAATTAACTTAATTTCCTACACCCCGGAAAGTTTAGTACGCGAACATTTAGTACATAGGGTGTTTCGATAAAGGAAGGCCTTATTCGACCGCGATACAAACGTCAAGTTATTTCTTTCAGTGCTGATTCGGAAATTCATACGAAGTTACTGATCTATTTCTATACCAGATATTTCTGGCGATACATGCGCCGTTTCAGGCTATTTGTGTACTCTGATCTAACACACATGCATCCAAAACATGAAATCAAATAGCGATGAGGAACAACGTGACCCTGACCTTCTCGAAGACTCCAACAACACTGGAATCCGCTCAATTCACAAGTTAGAAAATAAAAATAAAAAAATTGAAGGAAATTATATGGAATTAAGTGGTGATAACGCAGCGTATTTTTTAAATATGCGAAACCCGCAGTTCCTTTCTCTCTCCGCAGCAGATTGAGCTTTGAAGGTCGGTTTCACGGCAGCAGAAAGTGCTCATAGTGAAACCTTTTAATTCGCTTCCCAGCTATGTCAGCGGCGATCTCTTACGGGAAGAGTTTGTTCTCCGCGTCCCACAGCAACGCGCGTGAATTACAGGGTTAGTTGAAAGACTTATTTGCGTACCACATCGCAGGTTTCCCACTTCTGTGGTCTCTTACTTGCGTTTGGCTCCCAGTTGACACATGGCCTTGTCCTTCCCGAAGACTTCCACATGAACAAGAATCCTCTGCAATACACGACAAGATAGAAAAATATCAACATTTGTATGTTTCCAAGGATAAAGGGCGCTTTAGTACTTTTTTGAAGCATTTGTAAAGGATAAATTGTGGGGTCCCGTCCATTGCTACAGTGAACGCCAGTTCAGGACAAAACGCTGACCGGTATAATTGTACTCGACAGAAATTAATCAATAACTTTGTCGTCTTCGTCCCAAACCAAAATTATTTCCTTGGCGATTCTATCCGGGTCCTTTATCAAATCTATAATTGTTTCTAATATTAATAGAATTAACCATTCATTTTTTTAAAAATAATTATAAAATACTGGACACAACGTTAAATATTTCTTTTCATATTTTAGTTAATACTTTTAATACGTAAATAACATGTTATAGTGGAATCAACAGCTGAAATTCCTTACTGTTCAACGAATTTCATTATTACACAAGCCCATGAGTCTAATGAGGCGTCTAATTGTGTTTTAATTCGTAACCGCGGACGCACATCGTGTTGCTCAGATGCCTCCAATTGTCCGAAGTACTCCACAGACTACTCCGCCTCGCCGGCGGCCTGCTGCACAGCCACTCTCGCCAGGCGTGGGAGTTGGTGACGTAACGCACCTAAGTAAGTTGTCAATGTTTGGAGAGCTAGTAGAATTATAAACTTTTCACACTTGCGTACGCCTCAGTAGTCATTTAGGGCGAAGTGTACACACGTGACGTTATTCATTGTTTCCCATACACATTTGCAAACTTTTCAGAAGAGATTTATGAGATGAAAAATATTGATCAAAGTAACTTTTGCAACGGCTGTCACTTTTTTCATACGTAAACATTTTTTAACCCTGTTTCCTTATAACGTTTTAAACACAGTTTCCAAACTACAAAAGAATTAAGATTATGGCCACAATTCGCAACATGCATTCACGACAGAAATAAAATGTTAAGGTTACGTCATCTGTACATGAACGTCAGCCGCAAACCACACATGTGTGAGACGCTTAGCACGCGAGTTAAAAAGCTCTCGAACAAAGAAGTACCGTCACCCAGGGTTCATTATGAAATGGATCTAATTACTAAGATTCGTTCGAAACTCGGTAGCGAATATAGCCGCATCCAATGACAAAAGAATTCAGACAAGGAGTGGCGAAAGAGAACATGTAATCAGCACTGAATTAGTCATTGACCATCAGAAACACTAGACTCTAGGAGTACTTAAAACTAAGAATACTGTTCATTTGCAAAATTGCAGGTGGGCGGTTATCACACTACTGCCTCATCAGATATCACATTTTTAAACTTGCAAAAGCTTACGTTCATTAATGTACTCGCATAATGTGTCCAACACAAACGAAATGGTCCACTCTTTCGGTGAAAATATAGAACTGAATCACTCTATACTTACTTCACTTCTTGCGTTGCAACTCAAGCCTCTAGAACACTCGCCTACCGCGTCTTTACGACAGCCATCAAGTTTCTCCCCTGTCACAATGAGACCGCAACATACCAAACATTATCCCAGAATTTCGGCGAATATACTATTTCGACATTGCTTCATTCTGGAAATAGAGAAAGCTAGCTGAATAAAAACATTCCTGAAGCCACGTGGATTCTCTTATGGACGTCACCGCCATGGCCGGGGGTACACGTCTCACTATTTTTGGGGAGTATAATTGACGGGGCTCTGCGGAAAAACTACACCTTCTCTACTGAATTGTCTGCCCCAATAATTTAGTAATGGAGACACTCATTGACCCTAGTGTTCTAATGTCAACGGGATATAATTACGAGATGTGGAACCGGCAACACCACCCCCCTGTTCCAACCATGGCGCTGCCTTCCAAGTACGGTCCTTCCACACACGCACGCACGTTACACACACTTCCCATGTTACCCGAACCGGAGTTGTTCCCTCATCCCTTCACATAGGCACCGTACCAACGATCAGTTCATTTAGTTCACAGCCACCATTTCCGCTGACAGAAAATACTAGGGTTCAAATATCGATTCTGGAGGATTTTCGACACTAGTTTCATAGATAGGTTGTATTCAGTCTCTGCTTGGAGAATTCCAGCGGTCGGCTGCTTCCATATTTCCATACCAGACGATTGTGTATTTCGTAGATGTGTAGAACGACGCCGGATCTCATCCATTTGAGGAGTAAGATACTTTTCGGGACAAAATATCATTAACTACACCAACGGGACCAATTACCATAGCAGTTGACGAAAACATCAATCAAACCCCTTGTCCGCTTTCCGACCCACACTCTAATACTTTCCGCCCACCCGAGCAGTAAGTGAGCGATGGCATCGCTATGAAGGGAAGTTGGAAGAGCGAGGAGGTCGAACGGAGACTTCGTGTTCTTTACTACGACACGCGGGTCTAGTGAGAATACTCGATAGAAAAGAAGCACAGCTAGAACTAGAGCCAACTAGTTAAACAAAATCAGCCTAACACGCTGAATCGCAACGAGCACGGCAACCTTCATCTACTTTACACTTTCCCTGCCTCTCAACTCCGTTTCTTTCCCTTTTATTCTCGATTTGTTCGTAGAGTTGCAGACTTGAACTTGCCCGAGCCGGCGCCAGCCCTAGTCTCATAGATCGCCGCTCGCACCTTCGCTTTCTGCCCCCGGAGCGACGCCCGCGGCGCAGCGGCCGGCGCGGCTGAGCGCGCGCCTGCGACCCGGTTCCTCTGCAGACCGCAGCCTCAGCCCGCGCCTCTCAGCGCGCTAATGGGCGGCCTTTCCAACGAGGCCAGGGGCACGCACACACACGCGCGCGCGCGCGGCGCACGCCGGCCACAGTGCGCGGGACGAGCCGGCGTCACGGCGCAAAACATGCCTCGCTCCCTCCAGGAAGACTCGAGAGAGTAAAAAGCCTTCTCCACCACTGTAAAGTGGAGATGATAATACCATATCTGGGGACTAGTTGGACCACACATTCGTTTATTTGTTAATATATTCTTAAATATTTGCAGGGCAGGTTCGGGCTTCCAGATATGCCTTTGTGCACGTATTAAGTAGGTGCCAAACCATATTCACAATTTCTCCTTTTTTCTCGTTAAGGCACCGGTTTACCGTACAGTGCAGTCTTTAATTTCCAATTTTAATTTCAAACATATTAACATGGACTTCAAAAAATGTGTCAGATACCGTCAATTTTTGTCTGTTTGATTTATCACTAAATAACTTTCACAAACTTTTAAATATTTAAGCATTACCAATAAAAAATGGAGACTACGTACGGTACAGGATATTCTTTATGTGAATAAATTGGATTCATTATGTTATTCAAAAATTTAGAAAAGGTTTTCTTATATACAATCAATTATTTACACCCGGTATGTTACACTAGGCATTCTTGTTTACTACTTCCAATTGTCAGTACAGCTAGCGGTCCAAAAAGACTCCAGGTACAGTAATTGATATAAACAAGCAGCTATGGCACGAGGGTTGTAGACTACATTTCAAACTACTGTAGAGCGAAAATACACCAGTGTCAGTCACAAGCACAAAAAATACAGTATTAAAAACAAATGGGAAACTAAAAGAAGAGCTTCAAGCTCTCGTTAAGCTACTTCATGATTTCCACAAAGTTAGGGCCACAGTTTTCACAGTTAGGGACACGGTTTTCCACAGGGAAACTTATAGTTCCTGTAACATTTGTCACATATAACATTTTTTTCTAGCAATATGAGAGAGATCGCCAATCACCCTATCGGCCCAGCGAGAGACTTTTCACAATTCCTGTCCTTGAAGCTTCATTAAGTTGCGCACCTATGACTTAGTCGATCGTCCCGGTGTCTTTCGATTGTGCTTTTGACCGAAACACCAAACTGGCACGTTCGCGCCTTAGGCGGTCCGCCTTCGGCAGGGCACACTGGGCTGGGCTGGGCTGGGCGGCACGGCGCGGCGCGGCGAGGGGTGACGTAAACGCGGGGAGAGCGTGAATCAGCTGACGGAGGGCGGTGATTCACGGGATGAAAGCGCTCCCCCCGCTCGGGCCGGAGACGCTCTGCCGCCGGCGACGCGACGCGACGCGACGCGACGGCAACAGCCAGGGCCTGTTTCGGCCGCTGCGACAGACGCACGGGCGAGCTGCTGACCACACGCCCACGTCGCCACAAAGGTAGCACAAAAATTGCGGGAAGGAGCACGCGGAAAACCGCCGCCAAATGATGCAATCCCGCCCCAGTGACTGACCAAAAACACACAAGCGCTATCAAACTTTACTTTGGGACTTTCACAACTTCGCAAATCCATCCTTAATTTGTTTCAGAGTTGCTGTTTACAACAATTTATCTAATTCGGGAGCTCTTAGTTGGACTTTGACGGGAGCTGAGCGCTTCATCCTCCACAAAGTGGCGACTGTTTATACCGCAGGAAATGATGGCACAATGGGGTGACTAAACTCAGACTCTTGCTCAAGAAGTCACGCCCCAAAATTGCAAATATTAACAAAAATGTTTAAGTTTGTAGTCTCGAAACGTTTATATCTACAATGCGTCGCTTATCTGCGATTTATTACATAATCTGCCTATTCATCGCAGGCCTCGATGTAGGGCTATATGACGAATACTTGATTTTCTTTTTGATACCGAATAAATAAATACAAAACCAGAATACAAGGTATACTACATTCAAGGGTTTCGAACTCCGTTAAAAAATATAGCCTTTTTAACACAAAGTAGAGAATAATGAGAGCTTCTGTACAGTACGCCCTATCGTTAATACACTCCCTACTACATAACAATTTTAACAATAAAATTATTTTAAAATAGGGCCTCCTTTTCGAGACGTCATAATCATCCAGAGAATTGTTTCCCAAATCAATATTCGAATAAAAAAGAAAAATAAATAAATACAAGTTTTTATACTGTTTCTGCACATTTCATAACTATTTCCAAGTTGTTGCAAGCGCTCTTCAATGAATAACAAAGGGAAAAAATCACCTTTATTCAGTTCAGATTTGCTATTTACAGATGAATCATCTAAATCGGGAGCTCTTTGGTAGTCTTTTTCGAGAGCTTGGCGCTGCATCCTCCGCGCAGTGAGGACTGTTTATATCGCAGGAAATGCAGCGATGGCACAGTGGGATAATGACTAAATGTAGGCTCTTGCATAAGATATCACTCCAAGGATTTCATTCCGGAAGATACAACCGTCATATAAACAGAGTCGCTTACAAAGAAGGAAATGACATCCCTCGGTTGTATTTCTCTCATTGAAATGACATACACAAAAAGCTATACATTTCACAGAGTAGAAAATCTCTCGGAAACCATTCTCCCTTTTTAATTTTCACATCAATCATCTTTAACAACTCCACAATTTTGCTAATTTTATGCTCCAAAGAGCACGCGATGAGATATCAGAGTTAAACTGTATGCATCACCACTCAGTTCATCGCGTTTGCTTCCAATGCGAACGATACAGTTGAATTGCACAGTGGAAAAAATCACAGCAATAACACTTATAAAAAAGACACCATAAATACTCGATTTAGAAGAAAATTATACAGCCCAATTTGCTACAAAACGTCACAAGTTTTACCGACAATCACGCGAAAGAAAGATCATATCATTCCTTGGGATATTACCGAACAAAAACGATTTTACAGTACCAAATATGGTGGTAAACCGTGCACATTTCTTCGCGATCACTTTTCTATACGTCTATACACATTTCAAAAGCTACTCCTAAGAAGGGTGCAATTTAAACGGTTCAAGGGCAATTTGGACACGATCGAAGATAAGACAAACTCCCGTACTATCTGAAGACCAAGATGACCCCATATCACCCGTCTCTGCAGATGTTTGTTATCTGTTCATTCAAACAAATGCTATCGACACGAATGTAATAATATTTCTTCATTTTATTTTACAAGTACGTACAATAAAAGTTAAATCATTTTCTAGTCATTTAGAAAACATTTTTGGGACCTCACTGAACGGACAGAATATTTAAAAATAAATGTTTTGTTTTCTACAAATAGAACTTAACAAAAACTAAAATAAAGAGAAAATTGCTGCAATTGCACAACGTCGCTTACTCGAATTCAATTCCCGAGTTGCGACAAGCGACTGCTAGGCGAGGGACTTTCGGCCCCTACAATCAATGTGATATTCCTCGAAAACACAAACTGGCATACTCAATCCAGAATATTCATGTTCAATTTTACCCTTTTCATGGAAATTGATCATTTCATCCGCACACACACACAAATGCAGAGTCAACCAGTCGGAGCATCTCGACGTTCCTACGAGTGAACATAACAAAGGCGTCCCTGATTCCGACCTCAGCCGTTCGCTTCATTGGATTTAATGGCAGACCATCTGTTCTTCTAGATGGGCGCGACGTAAATGTCAAAGCCCCGCCCGCAAGGAACCACGGCGGCCGGTCAGGAACACATCCCACAGTGAAGACACTCAATGGACGTTCTGATGAAAAGGACACACAGGAATCACCTTTGCAATAAGCAACACGGCTCCCCTCTAGGAGACGGGATTATTTGCAATTATTTCAGGAATGCTTATTTGATTACATCGAACAATCTTTAACATTATTCCACTAAAGTCGACGATTTATTGCAACATTCCTGTCGAAGGGGATAAGAATGAATTACGAAAAACCGTACAGTAAGACACATGACATTATCTCTAGCCTTATAAAAAAATTATAAGGAAACGTCGTTCGTAGCTAAGGCTAACTTTACACAACGCGTAAGCAACTTATCTTATCAAATCCAGCCTCCCACCGCTACCCACGAGGCTCTCGGAATGCCACTTACATTCAGTACTACTAGACGGAAATGTGACATTTTTCAGGCACTACCATGACATTCTCTGACATTTATTTTTGTAGCGTCACTTTTTTATGTGATATGGCTAGGAAATATAGATTCAATGATCATGTAATTTGAAATGAAAACGAGTTATATTTAAAAGATACAAGAGTGATTTTTTTTTGTCTTTGTGAATAGAAAGGTTTTAAAAACAAAAAAGTATAACGTATCACGAAAATTTAAGGCAAAAGCAGACATTCCTCTACATAAACACAGTTCCCCAGTTCTTCCCAAAACAACAACAATTTCTGGTTCGTGGTCACTGTTGTCGCAGGCCACTGATACAATCGAGGAAATAACAAATCAGCATCTCACACGTCGCTCAAGCAAAAACGGCGGGTGCCATTCACGCGCCTGGGAGAATTTCATCTTGGTGTGATTCCACCACCAGGTAGCGGAAGCCAGAACGCCATCTTAACCCCCAACTACTATCGTGGGGTCTTTTTGATTCCAGCGCCTGTATTTTTAATACATTCCACGACCGCGCTTCTCGTAACTCTTGTTTTCTGTAATATTTTACTTATAAGCTTGCGAGTATTCAGATAGCGCAGAGACAGCTAGAGAACATTGTGGCGCGAAATACACAATGGAGATCAGAAAAGACCCCACGACACAATTTATGTGAGAATATTTTGCCAGGAGTCACTTGTGAGGACCAGCACGCGCACCCTTCCATCCTCCGGCGCCAGCTCGCGGGAATAAGTTGAAACAAGCCGAAAGAGGCGACTCCGAGCGCAAACGACTCTGCTCGAAGTTTGCGGGCGCCATGCCCGGGAGATAAGGCCCGCTCTCGGTAGCGGGTTGCGACAGTCATTTATCCACGGCAGCGGCAAGCGCGTGGCGAGGAGACCAACTTCGAAACACGGCGGCCCCGATTTCCCTGAAGAAGGTTCATGTAATATAACCGGCGAAACACTAGAGCACGAAACAGGAGTATCACAAGGTTCAACACCTAGCAACACTTTATGGCTAAAAAGCGCGAAAATTTTGTTTACGGCTTTCATAAAAATGCAATATGTAGAAGATAGTACTTCATACGTGCATGAAGCACGGATAAAAGAAATATAATTAAAACTTAAAGCTTACTAAATGAAATACCAAGTGGTTACTGAATGAAATACTAAACTGTTTTACCAAAAACCTTCCCATCAGTTTGAAAATATTTTTGCATTTCAAAATATAAGCGATATTTCAAGCTTGGCGGGAAAATAAACCCTGAGCATCTTCTTTCAACTATTTATAGTTGAAATGATGGGAAGGGATTCTGGAACTCAAAATACGTGACGCACATGATCCTCTCCCCCATACGTATCATAGTTTTTACTGTTTTTTGACCAAATAAATCTAAATAAACACTCCACTCAATTAACAATCCCAATCGCCTTACAACATAACATTCAAGTACATTTATTACACGTAAGGAAAAACGCTTTTGCACTGTGCATTCGAGCTTCTGAATCTCCGAGCCTCCGTGCACCGCGCCAGGAGAAGCAGGAGATGGCACTTAAAGTCGTGATGACGCCATGGAACGCGCCGGCCACAAAACAACGGCAGGCGTGATGTCACTGCGGTCGCGAAGGGCACCTCGCCCAGCGGTGGTCAGCGCCGCTAATGGAGCGCTACACAGCAACAGTTAGGATTGCGAGTGCAGCCTAAAGGCACACTACGTGCAAGATTCAGGTAACATCTTACAAAACAAACACAGGAAGAAAATCCTGAAGAGAAATAAAGCAAGTCACCATTTCTGTATTACATACATAAATTTTAACGTGTACTACTGCATTGTATCTGTATACAACTAAATTACTGTATATAAAATAATACGAAATTAAATATTTTTTGTTCTCCAGAATGAATCAACCTAACTCCAATAAAATGTTTGGTAAACTGGTTAGCAAACAATTTGGAGGGCGAACATCGTCTTATAATATGTAGCACATCACCCGCTGTATTTGTTGACGGAGCCACTCTAGGCGTCAAAAGTAGATTATCAATCGTGGGAACGTGTCTTGTAAAAGTTATTCAGTAAACCTATGTTCCCTAAGTATACGAATCTATTCCAAAGAGATCGCTTTATGGCGACAAGGTTTGTTCTTTCTGAGAAAAGTAGTAGCGGAAGCGTAAAAATGCAACTACCAAAATCGCGAAACTTCTCATTATTTCTTTTTCTTGTTAGATTGTTATAAACTTTTAAGACAAATCAAAATACAAATAACACCAAGCACTTACTGATCGTGCAAACGACGCAATGTACGCAGTATTAGTGTTCTGGCACTGCAAGCAATGAAGTCGTGCAGCCACTTGCTTACAGTATCCGTCCGAAAGGATACCTTTCTAGAACATAATTCTTTGCGTCCCCGAAATTGTATCGTAATGTTTATACAACTGGAACGAGATAGAAACGTGTTTTCTCTTGAACATTATTTTTAATAATTATATATGATACATATTATTATTAGTAGTAATATTATTACTTAATAATAATATAAGGATATGCCGCCATAATAGATTTTCCGGATAGGACGTCCCCATAAACTACAAGAAATTAAAAACCGACCAAGTCGCTGAGAAATGTTGGAACTGGCATTATAATTCGGTGGTGTTCGCGGCGCGCAATTCGGTCTCGAAATTTGATTGAGTTTGGAGTAAGATAGTAACGGAAATTTTTTTTTCTGAATACAGACAGCAAGTAAGCTTCCCTAAATAATTTCGTTTGGAACAAAAATTTCAACATTACAATAATTCATTGCGTGGAGGTTTTTTTTCCTATTTGTTTAATTGATTTTAGATTTAAATAAACAGTAAGCCTAAAGACTACTTTTAGTGAACTATTTCTGACTACCTTTTCGAAATCTGAGATATACAAATAATACAAACTATACAGGTAAATATAAATAACCAAGAGGCAATAGTTGAATATTTTATTATACAAAATTTGAAAGTACTCTGGAAACACTATGGACCCTATCTTCGATATACTGTTGAATTCCGAGAATCCAACGTCTAAATGACTCACGGTAATAGAATATATATCATAGGTAAGGTAAGAAATAAATGTTCGCCTTTTTTATAATAAGACAGGGGCGGATTTTAATCAAATGCCTTTTTTTTTACTTTTCACTTCCGATCAATGCCTTTCAGATGTTTTTTAGACTTAATGTGTTATGACAAAAGGAAAAGATAAGAAAATGCGAAAAGATAAATTATGAGAAAAGTGTCATTTGTATACTACACGTTTCACATTTTTCAACAATATCAACTAATACATTTTTTACCCTTTTTGGTCATTTTGAAGCATTTCTTGTTGATTTCATCGATTTTAATACAATTTTAATGGTATGTGCTTCAAATAATATTTACGAGATGCATTAAATGGCCTCCACAAAATTCCAGAGTAGCCTATTCTATTTTTTTTACTCGGATATTGTAAGGTAAACCGTAGAGAGTAATTAATTTAAGGCTCCTGCAATGCCTATCAAAGCCATTGTGGGTTCGGCTATTTTCGCTATAACTATAGACACTGTGGAATTATAGAAATGTGGACGCTTACTTTTATCCCGAGAAACGTAAGTGTTCACTAGGAAGACTTTCCTTTACTCATGCGGAAAACTTCTGACAGAGAACTAGTTTCTCTGAAGATATTTCACTAAAATCACTCACAACAGTTGACGGAAGAACTTCATGGCTTCTTAGCTGATTGAAAAGTTGAAAGTTTTTAAAATTAGAGTTTTCCTATTTGCAAAACCTGCCTCGTTAAGTAAATTAATATTAAAATTAAGTAGCACTACTTATTGAAAAATAGTACAATGGGAAAAATGAAGAATCAATTCGTAACATAAAAGCAATGAATCTAATAAAAAAAGTTACAAAATATTGGCATGAGCCCGTATGAAGATACATAGTTGAAGATAAACAATTCAGACAAAATGACTGTTAAATAGTCAACTTTCCGTTTCATAGATGTAGAGACTAACCGCTTTTGCTATACAGTGGGTTTCCCAGAAGATCTAAACCATAAGAAAAGAAATTTAAGATCTAAACCACATCACCTTGGAGATTACGGCCTGAGTAACAAAACTCCTACTCCCTCGGAATCACGAAACAATACATGTTTGGGGCTGTGGACGCACAGTTTTTGAGTTAGGTATATTATATTTAGAGCAGCAATGCATGCTGCAGCGTCACGTACAATGCGGGTTGCGTTTGCGCCTTGTGATTTCTAGGTAGCATATACAAAATTATACATATTCGTGTATTTGATACACTCCCAACTATTCCCCAGTCAACAGTTGCACATATACGGGGTTTTGTACTGATAACAATTAACAAACAGAACAAAACCGTCGGCTTTTTTTATCAGGAGTTATATTACTTACATTTTATGTAACTTCTTCTCACTTTAATAGTGAACTCGGTATAGAAGCCCGTCAACGCGGTCATTTCGTGAACAAACGAAATAGTTCCCAAATCTTCCATTTGAACCATCAACATCCAGTCGTGGTCTGACAGCTTCATACTGTGTACAAGAGGGCATGGAGGCCTCCTCGTAGATCCAAGGCGGGAGCGGCAAATTTAAGTTTGACAAGCATCCAAAACTTTCAAATACGGTCACCTCTCTAGTGTCTCCTCCTAAAAAATCCAGAGTTTTTGGAAGGTTTCTGGAAATAGATCCTGATGCAACCCGTCAATTCAATATGCTTCCGCTACATCACGGTTACTTCTGATATTGAGGGCGATTACTCTCACACAGAATGTGTTACTTTTGTAACTTAAAATCGTCGATGCAATCAGATATATCAGATTAAAATCGCATTTGGCACCAAAACTTGAGAATAAAATAATGTAATTCTAAAATTCCTTTTACTGGAAAACAGAGTAAAAACCATGCTTTGTCCTGTCTTCCTTATTTCGAGAAGAAAATGAATTCTGCATTCATAAACACATTGGTGATAAGACCATAGTTTACATTACAAGCAACTTCACGGATGAAGTAGTTATTTGACATACTCTTCAAGGGATATCACTGTTAAATTATATTACATAAAATTTCACAATAGGGCAACGTATAACGTAATCATTACGCATGATGCAAAAATATTTTCAATTTTTTAGCAAATACATTTTGAATTATGAATTTCTGAAGCCAATCTACAAAATATACCTAAAAAATTAAAAAATTATAATAATGTGATACTTCTTTAAAAAATAAATTTCCTCGATAACGATCAACACCCAAAGAAGGTAAACAATAAATGATGCAATGGGTATTTACCAAGAAAATGATTCTTGTAATTTCCTACATAGTTATTTCCAGAACACTGTCAGATGCAAATTATTCCAAATATGCAGATGGACAAACAATGGAAGTAAACGAATCAGATATGACGCCCGGCATAACGGAATAACTGCAGGTAGGTGTCAACCACGCTCTGGCAACTGAAGTCACGTGATGGTCGTCATTCACGCATTGTTGACACCCTCCACAATATCTATTGTTGAATATCGGGAATATCACTGCGGTAAGCAGTATTACGAAAACAATTAATAAAATGTGTCAACATCAAGAAAGGAAAGAATAACCCGGCCAAACCATTCCTCGAAATATGTTTGAATGTACTAAAAAAAGTTCGTTGCAAGTTTAATTCCCGGCAATAAGTCACGCACTACGTTTGAAGCACTTCAATCAAGCTGTCAAGTCTCCAAAAACCAAGTGCAGTGAATCACTGATCCAGCCTGTATTTTTCGAATTTATTATACGGGCATTCAGAATGTCAACACAAAAGATAAAAAATATTATTGAAAATTTTCAACGAGCAAATGATCACATAATTATGATGTCAAAATTTGATTCAAATAAAAAATAAGCCACAAAGTTACCCTATATTTTCAGATAGAATTGCAACCTGTACGAGCGTCTCCACAGCTTTCCAAACACATGAATTATGGGAGAAAATAAAACGAACATGAATAAATTAAAGAAAAAAAATCCCGGATTAAATAACATTTTGAATACTTAATATATCATGAACAAAAACAATTTCGAAAATATTCTCACCTTTGACTTAGGTATTGCAGGGTCCAGTCAACAGTTTCTCCAACAATTTCGTTATCCCACAGCCGATATCCAGCGACTCGAACTGGAAGCTGGTCATCAGGATCCACAGTTTTCGCAAAGTTGTCGAAAAATCGCTTGTAAACAGTCAGATAATCTTTCGTATCTGCCATCGCTCACACACGCAGCTGACACTCTTATCCTGACAGATAACTTGCACGGAAACAATTGCAAAATGAGCTTGATGCGTTCAGAATATTTGTATTTCACATTTGCACTGGTCAGTGACACAAAACGGCAATGATAAACACCTAATTCAGCAACCCACACAATTCCATTACTTCCACTCGTCAAATAACTACCAATACTAACTGAATCACAAGTGTTTATATGTGGTTTCACCAACATTTCCCCGCGAAATTCATTTATTAATAAACTAAAATTTATACTTTACATAATACAAAAATACAACATAAAAACACAAACCCTCAATATTATTCTCATTTACAAGTAGATAATAGTCAAAATAAACACATGACATTGATTATTGCTGTTATAGAAAATACATGAACTCTCGATTATGTTGGCGGCATTGTCGTTGTCGTGCAGCGCTACATGTGAAACAAACTGAAAACACTCTTACATTGTACTTTCACCAGAAGATAGTGCTACACTCTGCAACCAGATTGGTGAAGCCTTCGCCCGCGTCATATGAATTACTATCGCAAGCTGTAACTTTTGTGTTTAGAAATAAACGGTTTAGTATTTAAAATTTTTTATCTTAATCATACAAAAAGTTAAAATTTTAAATTTATGTAGAAAACACCACATTCTTCAAGAAGTAGAATTTTTTATACCTAACACAGGAAAATTAATGTTTTAGTACATAATGAAAAACTTGCAACAATTAACTCCATTTACTTCACGATTTATTTAATACACTTTCTAATCTTAAACTACTATCAACACAAATACATATCATTTACAATATTATACAAAGAGTCCGTTCTTCTGTTCCTGCCCCTTTTTTAAATTCCACTGATTTAAAATCTAAGTATGTTCCTTGATAATTCTTTTGCATCCACTCTGGTAAAGGTTTATTCCAATCTTCTGGAGGTTCAGATCTTTTCTCCCAGACATCATTGCGATAATGTGCTCGCATTCGATCATTAAATCTCTTCTTTTCACTTTCCGAAAGTTCTTTCTGTAATAAATGCATAAGAAGAGAAGAACAACAATTAGAATCAAGTAAATACCGTCACTACTTCGCATTTTTAAAGCAATTTAAAGATTACAAGATTTACAGCTATAACTTACACAGGCTTTTACATTTTTATCTCTTGTCCATCGTACACAGTTATCATAGTCCTTCTTCCACTGAGTGCAATCAAGGGTCTCCCCATAAATGAAATATTGATGAAATCGAGCTCGGAAGCTTGTACAATCTTTGTATTCTTCTTTATACATTTCACAAGGTCGAATCTGCAAAATTAAGGAAGTTTACCCTCAAGAAATTGCTTAATTTGTGAGTTCTTAATGCATGATGAAGATTTTCATGAATGACTTCTTAAAAATATTGACACCTCATGCATTATGAGCTCAAATTTCGACCTGCATGTGCAAAAAGAATTTTACCGGCCAATCTGGTTCATGCTGGTCGTGGTCAGTTGTAGCTTCAGACATTTTCACAGAATGTTATAACAAATAATTATCAATCATAAAATGAAAACCTCAATCAACTAAAATAATATAACTGTATACAAAACAACAGTCGGCAAAAATGATAAAAGTAAAGTCCCATAATTATATTCCTTTTTCACAACATAACCCCCAAATCACTCCATCACTTCTGCTTTCCTACTTCGACTTCTGAGCAGAGAGTGTTGAGCAGTTTAGAGCTACACTCAGAGAGTATATATCTGAGTGTGGCTACACTGAACCTCCAGAAAAACTTCAAAGACACTACATAATCCGTTACTGTTGGCGACCGTGGACTGCTAAACTGCAAATCAGAGAAGAGCTGCAAACACAAGGCTCGCTATGTCATTTTATTCGCTTTATGAAATCACGGAATGTATTACACAAAAATTCGGATTAAAAATGTGAAATAGTATTCTTAAACTTTTCCAACGTTAAAAATAAATTGGAAATAGTGCAATGTGAACTAAACTTTTTAGTGCAATCTTCGAATTCCGGGCAAAAACTTGAAGAATCTTTCGAATCTTCGATTCGAATTTTGAATTTATTCAACCATACAAACCCCTTTAAATTCGTCAAATATCCAAAATTGTCCAAAAACAGCTTTATCTTAAACTATTCCGAAAAATGCATGTCTGAGTCAAGCCCTTATACAACCGCCCCAAAATACACTTCAAAAATATTACCCTGAAAATTGTTAAAAAGTTAATTGGATAAAAGGACCCAGAAATGTTTTGCCCTCCCTCCTGTCTTGTTTTAGGCTGCGCACGCCCATGTTTGTGGTGGATAAGTACTGTAAATAACATAACTAAATTAAATAACATAACATTTTTGTATGATTAAAATTGACTTTTCTTCGGGCAGTAGCTATAAATTTGATAGGCTTAACGATTCTTTGTATTGTGATAGAAAATCCAGAGTTGGTTCTGAAACGAACATCTGTTAAGTTTGTGTTCATGTGAAGTTCATAATATATGTATTATTATATTTTTTTGTTCAAGACCAGATTTATATATTACGGAACCCCCAAGCACAAAATTGTATTGGCTTCCTGTACGTAAAAATTGCTCCATTTTTATTAAATAAAAATCTTAGCTTAATACCTACTTTCTTTACAAATACAAATGAAAACTAATAATTTTCATATAAAATTTTACATAAATCATATGTATTACATTAAATACATTTTATGTTACAAAAAATGGTATGCATATTTTTTTCGAAGCGTGAGCCTCTCATGGATGGAAGCCTCCAAGCACTGTTTGCTTTGCTTGAAGGTAAATCCGACCGAAGGTCGATCCTAAATAATGTTGAAACGAAGGCAGGTGTTATTTTTCGCATAAAAATGTAGTTTAAGCTTGTAATAAGTATTTAATAGGTATTTATTAATAGTGTATATGAACGAATGCTGGTTTCGTGTGTTTATTTTTGTTCTATAATAACAATTGTGGAGGTAGAATGCCATGACCCAGGTGGTAAAATTAATTATGTATTTTCTCACGCAACCATGGACTTGTTATGCTACATGTTTCTAAACAGAAAGAGCTTGGAACTTTGAACTCCGATCTTCGTGCTGCGAAGGAGCGGATTGGCGCCTTGATGTTTGCAATTGTGCTGAACCATCCGTCATCATCACTTCTCCGTGTTAGGTGATGTCTCAGGATTCTGGGCGGGTTTTCAACTTATAAATCGAGTGATAACTTTAAGTTTCAGCGTTTTTTCAAAGCGTACTCGACAGACACATTAAAAAATAGGAATGTCAATCAGTTCTTCAGTTATATAAATTTTCAGATTAGAGATTCCAAAGTTCACATTGGAAAACAGGAATCATTGGCATAATTGGTTAAAATTTATAGGCCTATTGTACATTTTATACGAATCTGTTTCTAATCTTGCAAAATTGGCTTATTGGTAATTAGGTATCACAGGAGTCTAGATTGTAGTTGGAGAAAGATTTCGGACGTAGGAAAGATACAAGTTTTGTACATTATTTTCTTACACCGTGAATGATGTGCCACATTTTCTAATGTACCGTTCGTACTGTTTTTCAGTGTTGCCGGAATAATTAGCGGAAGAGGGTTAACGAAGTTGAAATTTATACGCTACACCTATTGTCATACTTTGCAAATGCAAATTATGATGATTTTGCACTTTTAACGTTGTCTTCGCCGATACAGATACTGCTCGATTCCAAGATAGTCCTGAGAATCACATGAAAGTGTTACAGCTTCTATCATACGGCATTCGATATCAGTCCGGCCATCTACGTGGCTGTTCCAGGTTAGTCATTGCAGTTTGTGGTTTTAGGAATATCTTTAATTTGATGACTGACTGTGATCATCAGAAAAATCTATATAGTGTTATAATTATGCCTTAAGAATTTCAAGAATTCCTACCTAAAGATAAAGAAAAAAAAGATATTGAAGATTACTGGTTGTTGATTTTCTTGTCAGATTTTACAGTACCATCATGACAGATGAATTACTCCCAGATTTTCCTCCTGGACCACTTGATAGGTATAGAAAACAAGCAAGTTTTGATTGGAAGAAACTGAAACTTCACGTAGAGAACGAAGAGATATTGAAGTTCAAAGTAAGTGAAATATAAAAATGAATTGAAAAAAAAACTCATACATTTCATGTAGCTCTTAATAATAAGTATCACATTTTATATTCTTTTATAATGTTTTTGAATAACCCTCTACTTTATGAAGTAAGCCTGCAGTTTTTTTAATAGTTGCCTGTTAATATGCCATGTTTTAAATAGAAATTCAGAGTAAAATGAATTGTATGACTGTGTTACTGAATTGCATTAAAAATACTTTTAAAATGCTTCATTAATTTGTCTAGACAAAAATATGGAAGTTATTGGAAAGTGATCCATTATTTCATCCGCCATCCCGTTCACTCAGTCTGGAAGAAGAACGTGAGATAACTACAAAACGTATTTACAAATTGAGAGAGAATGAAATACTTCCAATTGAAGATATTATTGCAAACCCAAGCTTGGCAAGTCTTATTTTTGTTTCTTTAATTTAATTAAATTTTTACTTTATGTTAAGTATTATGATTATGCTGTGTAAGTAAAGTTATTTTCTCTTTTGAATTTTTAAGAAACTACAAGAACTCTTGTATATATTTTTGGGTATTAATACTGAACTTTCCTTGTGCGCAAATTTCTTGTAGAATGGTGAATACGTACTGATGTAAGCTTTCATTGATGTCTTTCTTTTCAGATTTATGCAAAAACTTCTGCATTTATACAGTACAATCCTTCTTTAGCTGTAAAAGATGGAGTGGCATTTGACTTATTTATGAATACCATACGAGGCATGGGATCAGGACGGCATTATGATTTCATTGAAGAATGTGCAAATAGAAAGGTGAAAAGAAAAATTTACAAATAGAGCTTATTGTGATTATCAAAATGATTTGTGTAGTGGGCTTAAAAACTAAAAGTTACTGGAGAATGTAGTATTATAACAGAAAAAAAAAAAAGAAATCCTGAAAGTCTTTTATTAATTAATTATATCTGTGTTACGATCAAGTGAGGTGTATAACCATTCTTTATACTTCAATTAAAGACAACATTAGAAATAATAAAATTAATAATTTCAGATTTGTGGTTGTTTTGCTTTGACTGAAATTAGCCATGGTACAAATACAAAAGGAATGAGAACAACAGCAACATATGATCCACAGACACAAGAATTTGTACTTAACTCCCCAGATTTTGAAGCAGCAAAATGTTGGGTTGGGGGTCTAGGTATGTCAATGAATCAAATGCAAATAGCAGCCAATTAAATACTGTGAAATATTTTAATTAAAAAAATATTCTAGTAGTTGCTTCCTGTTTCTAGGTAAAAATTCTACCCATGCTGTAGTGTTTGCAAAATTAATTACTGAAGGTGTAGACCATGGATTGCATGCTTTTGTGGTTCCTATTAGGAATCCCACTACGTTTTTAGCATTTAGTGGTGTAATAGTTGGAGACTTGGGTGCGAAAGTTGGTCTTAATGGTGTGGATAATGGATTTGTTTTATTTAATAACTACAGGATTCCCCGTGAAAATCTTTTAAACAAAATTGGTGATGTGACTCCTGAGGGGAAGTACACAACTCCTATAAAAGATCGTAATAAACGATTTGGTGAGTGTGGGTTAACATTTTACATAAGTTTTAAGTTTTTGTTACATTGTCATTATCTTTCTTCAAACTGTCAAAAAATTAAAGTGGTTTTTAAAAATGCAAGAATATTTCTGATGAATGTCTAGTGAATTTTTATTCAGTAGTCTACAATTATACCACATTTAAAAATTGTAGGTACATGAAGTATCATCTGATTATAATCAAAACATAATGATTGAATGAGTAAAAATACGAAATTTCTGAGTATCTATAACATTAAATAAGATCGACTGTTTTTATGTATCCTTTTAGTGAAATACAGTAAAATATGACTAAACTGGAACCTGAACAAGCTGAAACCTGTCTTAACCAAAATATTTCTCTGGCCCATGAAGTTAAAATGCATTTTCCAAAGCATAAAACGGTTCCTGTCCAACATGGAAATGGAACTATTTTTTCTTTTCTTACAAATTCATTCATTCTTTCATCATTGTTACTTTAAGTAATGACTGAATTGTAAGTCAATATTATTTTTTTCTCATTTCCAGGTGCATCACTTGGAGCTCTCTCTGGTGGCAGAGTATCGATTGTGCACATTGCACTAGCTTACCTCACAAAGGCACTTCCAATTGCTGTCCGTTATTCGGCAACAAGAAAACAGTTTGGTACTAGTGATGATGAGGAGCTACCAGTTCTAGAATATCAACTGCAGGTATTTTTAAAATTATTCCGATCTTTTAAATTCAAGCCTGAAAAAACACTAAACTTTTATTATTCATTTACAGCAATGCAGATTGTTCCCATACATAGCTGCAGCATTTGCTATAAAACATTTTGGTGATTACCTAGGGAAAATTTATGGTGACTCTCAAATTCGATCAATTTTTGGAGAACCAGCTGAAAATGCTGTAAGTAAACACAATTTTCCTATGAGAAAATGTTGTCAGGAAGAAAGTATTGTAAGGATGTATTTTCATGAGGCAATATTTTTAAATGCTTATTATTGAATGAAAAATTATGTTTTTAGTTTCAAGAAAATTCATAGTTAAAGCAACATTAAAATAGTTTTTATTGTTTTTAGTTGAAATTGTTTTGAAAAAACTGTGCATATCTAATATGGTAATGGGGTTATGACAATTGAAAATGATTAGTGTTCATTTTTGTTGTTGTAATTATTATTATTATTATTATTAATATTAATATTATCATCATTATTATTATCATTATCATTAAGGATGTATCATTCGACTTGTAATTAAAACTTAAGTATTCATAGCACTTATTGTGTTTAACAATGCCAGTTCTGATCATTCACCAACAAATTATAATCAAAGGTAGAATGTGTATTTCTTCATTATAATTTTTACAACTTGGATTATTATGTATGTATAATACTGCAGTTGCTTGTCTTATTTTTAATAGGCAGAGTTAGGAATAGAAATTCATGCAGTGTCATCAGCAGGGAAGCCCATAGCAGGGTGGATTACTCGAGATGCCATTCAAGAGTGTCGAGAAGCTTGTGGAGGACATGGATATTTAAAAGGTAAAAATGTCTCTGAAGGACACACACGTGGCATGCAAGAAATATGTACAAAATGTGTATGTAATTTCCCAGTCTCCGTCTCTCTATTTATTATTTTATTTTATTCAGTCTAACTTCTTATTCTCTCTCTTACTACCTTACTTACGCACCATTAATTGCCTATGGTTGATATATTTTGGCTAGCTCAATTATATTTTTTAAACCAATTCTACATCAGTGTTGTTTCTATTATGTGTGCTTGAAAATTCAGCTCTCTACAAGATTTCTGCTGACAACTTTGATATAGGAAAATTACTATTGGAACGTAATTTTGTAACCAATGAAAAAAAATATTCCGTATTTGTAACATACAACAATAATTTGCTGCACTGCTTTATTATAATTGGTATGTGCTTCAAAGGCTGCAGCTGTTTAACTCTTCTCCCTTGTTTTTCTAGTAACAATGCCACTTGCGAATCTTTCTACTGTTTTTGACGGGGCGCTGATGTATTTTAAATACATTCCTTGCTCACTCAATCCCTGTGCTGCCATTCGCTAGTCCCTTCAATCTTCTTTTCTTACATTGTTAATATTAAAACACATTAATTTAATGTTTGTAATTAGTACTCTGCACACACTTTTTCCAAATACACTCAAGTCTTTCTTTTATTTCTTTATTAATTTCTAATGCCTTCCCACATAGACCAGGATGTGTTTTTTTTATCTATCTTCATTTTAATCATCATATTACTTTCATAGCTCCCTTGTTTTGTTTTTTTGAATTTGTAAATCGTTTCTTATATTCACGAAGTGCTGAATATGGCTTACATATTTATATTTGCAAGCCATTTTTGTATTTTTTTTATGTAAGTGTACTCTAAATACAATTACTTGTATCTTTAATTTTCTAACACAATATCTTTTTCACTTTGGTTTTATTTAAATTTTCCATGTGAAGTACAAGTAATGTGTGTGTTGAACAAACTTTTCTTAAAACTGCAATTGCCACCATTATTTTAATTTCAGCTAGTAATTTAGGTGACCTACGAAACGATAATGATGCTAATTGCACATACGAAGGAGAAAATAATGTGCTTTTGCAACAGACAAGTAACTGGCTTCTTCAACTTTGGTCCCAGAAAAAGAAAGGTTCAACAATCAAGACTCCTCTTGGATCAGCAGATTTTCTATCGAACTCAGACTCTATATTTTCATCTAAGCTTATTATCCCCTCCTTAGATGTAGCAACTCATCCAGACAGTAAGTTCGTTAGATTGGTATGAAATTTTAAGAAACGTTATAAGGTATGTGAAAAATGCTGATACATTTTGTTAATCTAGCAATTATTGCGGCATATAAATGGCTGATATGCTGGTTACTTGAAGAAACTGAAAAGCGAATTGAGCAACAAATCAAGTTGGGTAAAGATGCATTTACTGCTAAAAATAATGCTCAAGTATTCTTTGCAAAAACGCTTTCGATTGCCTTTATTGAGGTAAGTGTTCTGGGTCTGAAAATCATTCTGAATTAACTCGCTCTAATGTATATGTTCAATAAGGTTTTTCTTTTCTAGCATTTTATTTTATCTCTTTTTTGGACATCTATTCAGTCTAATAAAGATGAGCAACAACATTCTATCCTTAAAACACTGTGCTCCTTATATGGAACTTGGAGTTTGGAAAAACATTTGGCAATTTTATATCAAGGTAACTTGATCTCCAATTTTTTATAAATCACAACTGAAAAAGATGGTTATGCCTGTTCTTGTTACTGAAATTGAAAAACTATAAAATAACATATGAGAAATAACTTAGAGCTACCAACTTTTTGTCATTACAGATATTTTTGTCAAATTTAATGTGATTTCAAACCTTTACAACATGTAGTATAAATATTTTTTGTGGTGGCTGGAGACCGAACACTGTTGCAGCTCCACTGAATGACAGGAATGTAATTTCCAAAATTCATGTCTTTCATTCGCATAGGTTCAGCTGGTTGTAGATGTTTCACTAGCTTTATATAAAGTCATAACTTGAGGTGTTTAATTTGGTCTGACATTTTACTAATATAAAACATTTATGTACATTATTTTGTTTTGGTTGTAGGTGGATTTGCATCTGGGCCTAATGCTGCCCGGTATATACGAGAAGGAATTGTGGAGTTGTGCCAGAAAATTAAGAATGATGCAGTTTCTTTGGCTGATGTTTTAGCTCCTCCAGACTTCATTCTCAATTCTGTATTAGGAAGGTCGGATGGGAAAGTGTATGAAAATTTACAGTCATTTTTGTACCAAACACCAGAAACCTTTGAAAGGCCAAGCTGGTGGAAAGAAGTTGCAGCCACTCCATCTTCAAAACTGTAGATGAAATTGATTTAAATTTTATTTACAGCAGTATTAAATTCTGTAGGATACTTTGCTGGGATGGTACTAATACAAGAATACTACATTTTATTTTTGAAATAAGAAAATATATTTCAATACATATATTTTTATATAAAAATATTTTAAAATATTTTTCTGTTAATTGTGGATGAACATGTTACTGGAACCGTGATTTTAAATAATTATTTTGTATATTGTAAAAAAATATAAATTGTTGAAAAATATATACATTTTAATTTGTTATTTAAGATTTTTTATATAGCACCAAGTCACCTTGTCCCTTAAAATTAGCATAAACCCATAACAAAAATTTACAGATTTTAATACTGGATCTGTCAAACTACATCACTTGCTGGCAGCATACCTACATTTTAACATTTAGCTTATTAGAAAGCCCAAACATTTACAACTTTCAGAAGAGCCACACAACAGACTAAAGTATTCACAAGGAGTGTTCATGTATTATTTGGCTAGTTCACCCTCACTTTTTTGAGTTGCAAAATCTACTCAATTCAACTCTCTATTTCCTTGAATATTTGTAGAAGGATTGAGAGAGATCAATGTATGATCAAACACCGCAATATTCATTTAAAAACATCACGGGGTCTAGGGTTGTTGATGAATTCTTTCCAAATTTAGTGCTGTAACTCTGAGATTCAGATGTTAGAACCACAGGCTTTGGATAGTTGAAAGCACAGGTTAAGTAAGCTTTTGATACAAATACAGGTGTGATCTACCACATATAAATTGTACAATTATATCATCTCTCACAAATTAATACTTATTCCATAAGAATATTATAATTTAGAGCGATATGTCTTTACCATTTCTTTCCACCACTTGGGTCGTTCCATTACACCAGGTGTTTGAAGCATATGGGACTGGAGGTGTTTATACACCTGTTAAGAAAAGCAATTGTCAATACTTTATCACTTCAAAACATATAAATTGATAAGAACTTATTTGAATTTAAAAGACTAAGTGAAAAAAATTACACGAGCATGCGAGTAAAATAAAAACAAATGATAGATAATGCTATGCTCTTATAATAACTGTATAATTACTTCATTCTCTTCATTTTAATCAGTATCAGTATTTTTGCCATTAAATGTTATGATTCTTTTCCACATTTTCTTTTACTAACAGTTGCATTTATGTTTTATGACCTTAACCAATTCACGCTAGACATTTGTGTGCTCTAACAGCTTTACAGACAATAAATAGTCACACAACATTTACTGCAAATTAGGAATGGGTGACCATCCAAATATTTTATATCCCAACATATGTCCTTATCTAAACTCCAGGTGGTACTTTTTTCAGAGGTTCGCAGAACTGAAAGGGTGTGGAAAATCATGTTCATTGTAGGACCCTTAAAATTGGCAGACAATAGTTAAGAATATTTTTGTAGTTTTTAAAATTCTTGCGTTACAGTACTAAATGGGTTATGTGATACTCAGTGAGAAGTTAGCATAATTGTTTGAGAGTAGATCCAATGCTTAAAAATGGACAATCTCCAATGTGTTGTATTTTTTCATTAATTTAATTTCTAAATCTCAATTTCAATCCAGTAAAGGTCACTTATAATTACAAAATCTGATTAGAAACATGGATTTGGTTATGTTCACACGATATTCTACTCCCTGAACTGTTTGAGACACAAGAGCTCATGTTACTTTTTGCTATGCCAATATTAATGCAACCACTACATCTTGTCCAACAACTATCCTTCTCACTAGAAGTCAGAAGCCCCAATTATAAGTTAGAAGTAATGGATCTCAAGAGGTGGGATAATGGAAACTTTTGGTCACCCTAGTGAGAAGGACAAGGTTGAAGACAAAGTTTCACATATAGGGTGAGTTGAATCTGTTAAGGAGAGGTAATCCCAGGGTAAATATCAATATCCCAGGGTATCAAGAGCTTAAGTAAAAATTTTGAATGTACATAATTTGCTACTTCTGATCAGAAACAAATATTTTTGGATGTTATAAAAGTCCTTAGTTTCAATTGCATACCAAATTACGTGCATTAATTTGAAAGACATACAAACTCAAAAATTATATTGCACCATTTTGTATGAAAGACACAAATCATTTTCTTTTGACCTGTATATTTTTGCCCGAAGCATTTACTACCTGGTGTCAAAGACATAGTATATAGTAATCAGCAATATCACATACCTGACCATCTGACATTCCCAAAACTGAGTTTAGAATAAAGTCAGGTGGAGCCAATACATCAACCAAAGTTATTGCTTCTGGTTTTAGTTCTTCACAGAGCTGCAATACACCCTGCTTTAAAAGTTTGGATGTAATATTTCCTTCTATTATTCTTGCTGTAACACACAAAAAATAAAGATAATATAAAAATCCATATATTTATGCCCTCAAAAGTTAGCATTATATTTTTACCTTCGTATAATATTCCAAGGTGATTCTGCAAACTCCATAGCCCATAAAGGGAGCACAATTTTCTTAAAATTAGACGAATATTTGTGTCTTCAATTTCATTGAGGAATTTTAAGAACAATTGAATAACAGCAAGCTAGAGGATGAAAAAATGAACAGCAATTTGAATTAAGGAACTGCAGCTCAAATAAATGGGACAAAATGTCTCTCTTTTACCTCAATATATGCAATAGAAAGATCTCTTGCATAAAACACTTGTGAATCATTTTTGGCAGTGAAAGTGTCTTTTCCTTTCTGTTTCTGTGTTTCAACAACCTCGTGAGTACTTTTCAGTAGGCACTTCACTAATGCCTTGTAGATGGCCAAAATTCCTAGAAAATTGCGGAAATTGTTTAATACAAAACATTGATCTACATTTTCTAAATTTCTCATTCTGAGATTTCCTACCTTGGGGTTCAATCAGTTCCTTGTAATTCTGTGCAATTGCATTTATACTCTTTTCATCAATATCCAGAAAACTAAGCGATCCTAGGGGTGAGTTAACTTTAACATTTTTTCTATGCTTCTCCCATACTTGCAATAACCAATTGCTTGCTTGTTGAATTAAGACATTATTATCTCCTTCATAGGTACAATTTGCATCATTGTCATTCCTCAGATTACCAAAGCCAGAACCTAAAAACAAAACAAAATAATGTTTGATATATGTATTGAACGTATACTAACAAGTTCATTTACTCAGTTCATTAAAGGCTTCAGGGTGAATGGATCATGCTTTCTGATTTCTAGAGGGGGAATTCAAGTGGTTTATGTTATCTTTAACTTCATGTTTCCAAGATATTAACAATTCTTCTACCTAGTGCTATGCTACGGTGTTGCAATGGTAGTTGTAAAGTGCAAAATGGGAGACATATTCCCACGCAATTGTTTCACTTCCAACACATGACTAGGTGGTGAAATGTATAATAAGTTATGTTTAATGTCTGTTTCATTACTATTGCAACACCTTTGTTCCACTCCCTATCTTGCAGTAGTGAAAATATACAATCAGATTATGAATGATTTTGATAACTTATGACAAATGCATCTACTTTAACTGAAAGGGTTAATACATAATGAAACTTCCAATGTTTCATAATCACATGTATATTATACATATACAGTATTATTGTATTAAATATAAATTGACCAAATGAGGTTAATACATGGATGAGATCAAACATTAACAGACTTATTTTAAGTTACATTACTAAGTACATATCAAATAACTATTAATAACCATGGAAAGATAGGTTATTGACAATATAATCTATCAAAAAATTTAAAGGTAGCAGGGAGGTCAATGACTTTCTTCTCCAAAAGCACAATGAATTTGGTGAGTTTGGGTCAGTAAAATGATATACCAAGCATAAAATGTTTTTGAGAGTTATTACTATGTCATTTACTTATCAAAATAGCCCAAAGTAATACATTTTAAATATCCATGTCCTCCACAAGCTTCCCGACATTCTTGTATACCACGTTGAGCCAACCAACTTGCCAAAGGTTTTCCCGAAGACAATAAAGCATGCATTTCAGCACTGAAGTCAATCTGTAAGAATTGTAGATTTTAAGACAACAAATATAAAACACTGTGTTCATATATAATTCAAATTACTTTTCACTACAATAAAAAATTTATTACTACATGAATTAATAGAAGAAGAAAAAATATTTATACATACTACTTGCAGTTGATTGCCTCCTGAAGCTAACATGAACACCATTTCTACTAACCATTCATACACATATTTAGAAAATATCTTCATGACAAATGCAGCTGCTAAGTAAGGGAACAACCGCCATTGCTGCATATAAAACAGGAGAGATTTAGTTTGTGGTTGCAATTACCACTAGATAATGCTGATTTTTGAATGCTGAATATGTTTCAAATGATTTGAAAATGTATTGTACCTGAACTTGATACTCTATTACAGGCAGCTCTTCCTCAGTTGGCCCAAACTGTTTTCGTACAGCAGAATAACGTACAGCAATACACACAGCTTTAAGTAAAGCTGCATGACTGATATTGATGACTTGTGAACGACCCCCAGACAAAGTTGATAGAGAAATTCCTTTAAAAAATGCCAAATATTATATTGGACTCTATTTTATGCAAATTTACCCTTCACTATGCAAATTTAAAATATTCTCACCAAATCTTCTTCTGGGGTCCTTGATAGATGAGTGATATTTCCCTGATGGTGAAACATCACCCAGTCGGTTGAGTAGACTGTGTTTCGGCACTCTGTAGTTCTCGAACACAGCAAACCTGACAAAATTCATAAGTGAAAGCATGATTAATAATAATAATAATAATAATAATAATAATAATAGTAATAATAACAACAACAACAACAACAATATACAACACAAGTAGAAATCTAATGTTTTGATTTAAATATCACATGATGTCTTTCCATTATTAATTGTTACATGAATAATCACAATGATTACCCATTGTCCATTCCATTCAATCCTAGTTTTTCACCCATATCACCTATTGTTACGCCAGGAAAAGTTAGCATTGTACGAGGATCTCTGAGAGGCACAAAAAAACCATGTAATCCTTGATTTTCGCCATCAGGTGTTATTAATTGTGCTA